ACTGTCAAGTATAAGGCCTAGATACTTTACCTCCTTCGACAGTTGTAGTGTGATACCAAACAGCTTCGGCAAGTTGAAAGCACCTACGTCACGTTTGGTTGTAAAGATTACCAGCTCTGTTTTTGTTGGATTAACTGCGAGGTCGTATTTCCTGCACCAGCATTCAATCAGTTTCAAAGCACCTTGCATGGTGTTACAGGTAATGCTGGCGTGGGTGCCTAGGGTAAGTATAGTAATGTCATCTGCATACCCTATGGTGTAGTAGTGGTTCGAGTTTAGCTTGGTCAGCAGGTCGTCAACTACGAGGTTCCACAGAAGTGGCGAAAGGACCCCTCCTTGCGGACATCCTCGTGCCACCAGTGCTCCTCTGCTGTCATCACCTTTTACCCGAACTATTCTATTGCGAAGCATGTTAACTGTCCAGTCAATGATTTGTTGCTCTACTCCGTGTCTCCTGAGAGCAGACTCAATGCTGGTGAAGTTGGTCTTATCGAAAGCACCCTCTATATCGATGAAGGTTCCGAGGCAGATAAGTTTATTTTGAAGGGCTTCTTCTATCTTACCGACTAACTGATGGAGAGCCGATTCAGTAGATTTACCTGAACTGTAGGCATGTTGATGTTTGTGTAGTGGGGCATTGATTAATGCTCCACTGCGTAGGTATCTGTCACATAGCCTTTCCATTGTCTTAAGTAAGAAGGTTGTTAGGCTAATGGGCCTGAAGGATTTAGGGTTAGTATAGTCGGTTTTACCCGGTTTGGGTATGAATACTACCTTGACCTCCCTCCACAGATGTGGAGTGTACCGATGAGCCAGACATGATCTTAGTAAACGAGTAGCCGCATCGACCACGTCCTGTCCGCTCCATTGTAGTAGTGCTGGAAAGATGCCGTCAGAGCCAGCAGATTTGAAAGGCGCAAAGCAGTTGATAGCCCACTTTACTCCCTCAGGCGTAATTACCGTCTCTGCTAGTCTCCATCATCCTTCTGTTGTACTTGGAGGTTCATCTTGCCAAGTCACCTGCTCTGTAAGCTGGCAGTCCGGAAAGTGGGTTTCTAGGAGGATAGCGTCGCAGTCAGCACGATTGTGGGACAATGTGCCGTCAGGTCGACGCAGGCTTCCCAGCACGCCAGGGCCTTGCTTGGCCAGCAATTTCCTTACCCGGTTTGCCTGTTTGGTGGAGCTTATCTCCTCGGTGAAGTTCCTCCAGGAGGCTGTTCTCCAGTATCTAATACGTTTTTTGTACGTACTTAGCTTTGGTAGCTTTGTAGTTGTCCCAGTCTGTGTCGCTGCATGTATTCATTGCTCTGTTAAGGCACTTCCTCACCTTTCCTCTCAATCTCTCGAGCTCCGGCCCCCACCAGTGGTGTTTTCCGGATACTCTCGAGTTCGGGAGTCTAAGGGGGCAGGCCTCTTCGTAGCAACGCGTTATGTGTCTGTATTAATATACATAAACAAAATATTGTTTTTTAAACTCCGCACAAGTCTCCCTATTTTATTATTTTCCAGCAATCAATTCCTGTCAACAATCCGTCTCTTTTCAAAATTACCTAATAACCTGCCAGTATACACCAAAAATATCCGATCACTACAATACCTAGCATTTATTACTCTCGTAAATTATTTCATAATGATATTTCATTTAATTCAATAATGTATGTAGTTTAGTTATTCAATAATGTAAGTAGATAGTCTGGTCTAGGAAACTACCTACCTACCTATGTAGTTTTGTTTTTAACGCGAGTGTAGGTAGATTACTCGTTTGTCTCTTTTTTCACCCTATCCACTTATTTATATATTATTCCAGATATTTTGCCCGATGGAAAAATCGAAATACATACATACATAGGTTCGCTAAAAGACTCTACCCCACCTGATGCATGTTGCTTCTTCACGCCTCTTTTAAAGCATCCCAGGGGGCCATTCGCCTAACGGAAGTGCTTTGGAAAACGCTAACGCTTACGATTTCATTTTGTTATTTCTAGCCGCCTGACATGTTCAAATGCCTCGCGCTCTTTTTTTTTCTTTTGCATTGGTAATAACAATATTAAAGAAAATGAGCGTGAGGTATTTGAAAACCTTCGGCAGTCAGAAATAATAAAGTGAAATCGTAAGCGTTAGCGTTTTCCAAAGCATTTTCGTTAGGCGAATGGCCCCCAGGTTCTAGGACGGATGGAACACGTGAGCGGGCAGATCATTCCATTTGCGGATAGTGCGACTAAGAAATGAGCCACCAAATTTCTTAGTTCGCGTTGGAATAGCGACTGCAGTTAATCGGTGATAAATTTTAAAATCTTCGATTATATACACGCCTGGATACAGTGTTAACTGCATGGAAGTGCACAAAAAAATATCACATATGGTAGATAGGCTCGTCGCTACACACGCACAAATTGCGCGTAAAATGAGCCGTTATCGTTGCATGTTTTATTTGGGTTGCTTTGTCTAGGCGTGTACATAATACAAGTTTAGAATAAGCCTATTTCATCTTCACATAGCATAAAAAAGGTCGCGCCCGCGTTCAGAAGCCCAAGTACAAATTTTGACAGCTCCGTAATAGTATCGCATCGTCAAAGTTTCTATGAAAACTTAGCAGCACCCCCGCCGGACGTAAGACCAAACTAGCTTTTTTCACGGAATATTTGACGTTAACGATACTATTACGGACCTGTCAAAATCGTCGTGCTTGGGCCACTGCAACTCGAGCATGAAAAACTAGCGCGAAACATTCATCATGTAAGTCAACATCAACATGTAAGTTTCTATGGAAATTAAGCAGTGCGCCAACCGGACGTAAGAGCAAACTAACTCTTTCAATAGAAAGTTTGACGATGGCGATACTCTAATACCTCGGCAATATTATCTATACAGTATCGTGACTCGGCTTTGTCCTTGAAATAAATGCCTACGGCCGAGCGCTGCGTTAACACGTGATAGGGCCGCCCGCCTTCAGTATTTTAATTTCATCTACATAATTGAGTTTCTTTCTAGTTTTGTGATTGTAAATATTTTTTTTTATATGTAAAGATTCTCCGCAAGCCCATATATATACCCATATCGTAGGAATGCATTAAGGAATGCATTAAAAATAACTATTCCGCCATGTTGGATTTAGAATGACGTCACACAGCTACCCGTGCTTTTTAATCAAAACGTGTATAATACAAAATTTCAGCTCAACCGGTTCAAGATATCTGCTTCAAAATTGAGTTGCTAGATTCCACCCGAACACAAATAGTTACTAGTGATGTAACGAATGTCATATTTTGAACATTCGCGAATGCGAATGCGGATGCGAATGTCTGGTACCGACATTCGCGAATGCGAATATTTAGTTTTTTTTTAAATTGGCGCCAATTGTCTATTCTATGGCATGGTGGCAGTCTCGTTCGAATTGCCGAGATGATATGAACTCATCCGACTGAAGTGTCATTCCGCTCGCACCGATATTTCCGTAAACAAAACAAGTGAATTTTGAGGTTAGTGATTGTGAGTGGTAATAGTGATTTATTAACATGAGTAAATCGAATTCTAGTGAAACATGGACTTATTTCACACTTTGCGATGCTGAACGAGCTAAATGCAAACTGTGTAACAATGAATATTCAAGGAAAGGCAGAACTACAACTTCTTCAAATTGTTTTTTTCTAATATTCATATTCGCAAAACATTCGCAGAGATTTTGCGAATGCGAATGTGAATATTCAAAAATATGCGAATGCGAATATTCGTTACATCACTAATAGTTACATACCTACCTATATTGCAAGTTAATTAAAAGCTTGTAAAAAACCCGACTGCTGATTTTTATTCTTACATAATTTAATAAAAGAATATTATTTTAAACATACAAGTTTTATTTATTTGTAAGTCATGGCGCAGTCGGGTTAAAAGGAAATTACCTACAATGTAGGTAAATCTTACTAGGTAGGTACTGTAGGGATTGTCATTGAAACACTTTTATTTTCAAGAAATTACATTATTAATATACATGAACAAAATACTGTTTTTTAAACTCCGCACAAATCTCCCTATTTTATTATTTTCCAGCAATCAATTCCTGTCAACAATCCGTCTCTTTTCAAAATTACCTAATAACCTGCCAGTATACACCAAAAATATCCGATCACTACAATACCTAGCATTTATTACTCTCGTAAATTATTTCATAATGATATTTCATTTAATTCAATAATGTATGTAGTTTAGTTATTCAATAATGTAAGTAGATAGTCTGGTCTAGGAAACTACCTACCTATGTAGTTTTGTTTTTAACGCGAGTGTAGGTAGATTACTCGTTTGTCTCTTTTTTCACCCTATCCACTTATTTATATATTATTCCAGATATTTTGCCCGATGGAAAAATCGAAATACCTAAATATTAAAAACAAATTACGTACCAGTAGATAGGTATATAAAAAGTATTCTAAAGTCTTACCTTTCCAATATTTCAGGTAATTTAAAAAATGATATCTCTGGGTGCGTTATTGAAGAGTTCAAGCAAACAAAAACAGTACAATATCGTCGTTTGTTCTTTGCCATATTAAATTATGTAGGTATCTACTTAATTCAATCAAATATTTACAATACAAATCGCACGTTTAAGCACGGCTAACTGCATAAAAAACAATTCACACCGTTCGGTCGTCGCTGCGGCGCATTCGCGACTGGGTGTCCCCCGAGAGTCCCGCGAACTCGAGTGGCGTAGGTATGATTCGCTTTCCAACCTTGTATAAAGATAGAATACTGTATATAATATTACTTTGTCGCTATTTGTTCGTGCTGTAGGCGTACAGCAAATCTTTTAGTTGAATTTTAATGCAGTTTCAAGCAATACAAACGAAAGGCAATTTTATCATCATTAGTATATTAATGTAACTACTGCGGCACGAGCGATTTTCTCTTCTTTGAGCCTTTCGAATCCAATTTAATTGGTTAAGCTTTGTAGGTATAGGTACACTTCTAAACTCCCTATATCAAAGTTATATTAATTGTTTCAGGTATTCAAGCGTGCAGCAGCGTGTAGCAGCATTTAATGAAACGACAGGAGATAATGTTGTAGAAATGGAACAATATACTAATTCCATTAATCAAGAAAACGACGGAACAAACTTGGTAGGGCTTAATTACAATGATACCAGTAATATTGCTGATGACAACCAAATTAAAATTGTAGATGTTCATTCCTGTAAAGGAATTGTGAATGAAAAGTCATTGGTTACAGATGTAACCAATAATAGCAGTGGCACTATTGATGCATCAAGCATAATCAATGAACCTGCACTGCAGAATAAATCAGACAATCCTATAGAAAATAGTCCTAAGTTGCCCACAGGTACAAATGATAATAGCAGATCTACAACAGACACCGTAAACAACTCGGATGGACACAGTGAAATCTTATCATTATTTGGTTGTGGATCAACCAGTAAAATTCAAGTTCTAAGCATAGAAACTTGCGACGACGGTGACACGTTTAATGATATCAGAAATAATACAGAAAATCCTTCCAACAAAGATAACAATAAAGAAATAGATACGTCACAGCGTCAACAAAATACACCAGAAGACAATAGCTTAAACAATCAATGCGTTAAAATTTCGAATAACATCAAGGCAGAATTAAATTATGATTCAAGAAATTCTGAAAATATAATAGAAAACACAGATGCATCTCATAAAGAAAATGATAAACAACAGGAGGGAAGAGAAATTCTTACTGAAACACATTCATCACATACTGAAATAGAATCACAAAATAATGACAATAGCTTGACATCAGAGGGATCTTTAGAATGCGTAAAAAATAAAATTACAGAGAATAACAACTACTATGAAGCTAATAAAAATGTCACAAGCGTTAATAATACAGCTGTTTTGGACGGCCAAGAAACAGATATTGCAAATACGCAGAAATCACAGTGCCATTCAAATAAAGATGAGAAATGTGGTAGTTCCACGGTAGATGATACAGATAAGAATCTTGATACCAACATAAAGATCACAGAAAATATGGTCATTGTCAAATCTGAACAAACTATATCAGAATTAGACCAGTTAGGTGATGATTTCACAGTGACAATTTTAGGTGTGATTGATCCGTTCCTTGTTATAGAAATTTCTTCAGACAGCGATTCTGAAGATGATGATTTAAGGTGATAATGACTCGTAACAAACATCTCATAATACAGAACTCTTAGTTTTTATGTTATAAATGTTATTGTTGTTTGTAAGTATTATTTTATTTACGAACATTTTTATGCTAAATCTTTATGGTTAGGCTCGTATTTCAATGGTCATCAAAAGAAATCTAGGTTACCAAAATAATTTTTTTGGGTTATCATTTAAATACATATTTATACCAAAATTACTGTTTTCCGTCTTAGTAATAAGAGTTTATTAAATTTTTTGAACTGAAACTATAAAAATAGAAAATGATAAAACTCTATGGAAAGGATGAAACGGAAATTACGGGCGTCACACTACTATAGTAGTATATATATATATAGACATATATTTATATGTCTGTGTGTGTGGGATGCGTGCGCAGCTCGTACCGACGAGCATGAAAGTTGGAGGGTAACTTGGTGAAGGCTGAAACGCTACAAGCGTCACACGCGGCAAAATTTATACATATATACATATATGAGTGATGCGTGCGTTGCTACATTCCCCTTATGTGCCTTATGCACCGCCTAATGTTGGGTTATTCAAGAAAAGAAGTTTCACTTCAGATGTGTGGTCCGTGCATACTTATATTTTTATCATCATTGAATGTAAAAAAATACACTTTGGTGCTAAGATGAACATATGCAATGTAAGCAAAACGCAATGTTTATAAGAGTCATTTCAGATTTTACTTTTGTAAAGTGAAGTGCAAGGAGTACATATTTTTTTTAGGTACTAAACTAATATATGTAAATAATGGTTACAATTTTAGTTGGATTGAAACAAAAGTTGCATATTTGATATCGTTTGTGATAATGGAAAGCAAACTTTACCTCCGCTTCATAGTATTATTCTTATATGTGGCTTCTGTTTCTGTTCTTTTAAGTTTCTGCTCAGCTATCTATATATTATCGTTACCTTAGTTTTATATTACTAAAATCTGATAGGTATGTTATATGTATGAAAGTCTGATTTACTATTTGTGGGACATCAAAATAAATACCTATGTAAGGTATTTATATCAAAATAAATACCTTACATAGGTATTTATTTTGATGTCTCAGTAGGGACAACGGTAATTGCCTTGGTCAAAAGTACTTTGATCGCCGGATTGCTAATATTGCCGATAAAAAGAACATTATTATTAACGTTTTATAATAATGTTCTTTTCATCGGCAAAAAAGAATCTTAAACTTTCACAAAAGTTTAATATTCTTTTTGTAATCTATGAAAACAAAATTTCAGTACTCTTAGCACGAAATAATATCGAATGCGAATAGTTTGCGAGTGTGAAATGTCATTGTCAAATGTGTACTGATTTTTTGTTCTCGTTACGTCCGTTGTGACGCTGCTGTTCAAGTTTCCATACAAAATTTGACAATGACATTTCGGCCTCTGCAAACTATTCGAATTCGATATTGGTTCGTGATAGGGGTACTTTACCCTTGGCACGAATCATTATCGAATTTGAATAGTTGAATTCGATCTATTTTATACGTCAAATGGTTCATGCTAAGGGTACTCGAAGCTGCGAACCGAATGGGTATTGTATTTTGTTCACTGTCTTGTTGAGACGTAGTTTTTTCACGACGACTGAATGCGTTTCGGATCGTACGTTATTGGTCAATTTAGCCCTCCGTAGGCGAGTTATTATCGGTCGATAATATCGTATGCGTTTTGTGCTTGTTTTCAGTACTATATGTATGAGAACGGCTAAGAAGTTGCACACTGCTGCGATAATAATGACGCAATGGAAGTACGACAAAATATCGCATTATTATCGACCGATAATATCGCAAATATGGGCGGAAGGGCGCATCGAAGTGTCAATCAGAAATTTATCAAAGCAAATTCAACCTTACCCCTTCATCTTAATGCATCATATTCCTTTTGTGTAAAAAAGTAAACGCGCGAATCCGATTATCAGCTCTGAAGGAATATGTGCATTACGTTGCGGTGATAAGGGTGAATTTCCTAAGTTACTGTTTATAAGTCTAACTAAATGCTTACTGCTTTCCATACTATCCTGCTGTTTTGTATGGACAAATTGTTGAAGAGGGTGTCTTGCTTGGTCCTTAGAATATTAAATGCAACACACCTTAAAAAAATGTTGATTTGATTATTACTTATAAGTATAATTATGGTGGTCACGGGATGGCCTCACGCCTGTTCTTATTTTATGTTCTACCTTCAGAAACGGTTTATTATAAACGTATATTGTTCATAGTTCGTATGACAACACTTATTTTCAAATACATAAAATGTTGGTCAAGTTTTACAAGATCATCAGACCGACGAAAATAATGATTTTTATGTATACTTATGTCGTTTAATAATAAGTGATGTGGATGTTGATTCAGATATCGTCTATATACAATTGATAACTTGTATTTGATTTGCATTAAAGTCATAACCTACTAATTGAATTAAATAACATGATTACAACATCATTACTTCCTTCTTTGTTGTTTATAAAAAGTTTTCTAGCGTAAAAGCTATTAAAAAGAAGGTATGGTTATCAAGAATGAAATATTTTTATAACCGACCAACATTTGACTGAACTTAAATAAAATGTTTGTATAAAAATGTGTTTTTGTTCTTTGGAGAGTTAGAGCTGTTCATTAGTCTCGCTAAAACTCGAGAACGACTGAACGGATTTATCTTATCTAGGTCTCGAAATGTTCGTGGAGGTCTAGGCACTGCCGGATTTAGGGGAGGGCAACCGGGGCGAAAGCCCCGGGGCCTCCACAAACGAAGGGCCCCCACAACAGAGACTTCGGAAAAAAAATCTTTCAAATTACAACTAGTAAACAGTAGTAAACATCTTTTCGGTTCCGTTCGTTAACTCTAAAATTTAATTTCAGATAATTCTTGTTTCCGTTTATATTTATATGTGTTTGTTCAATACTAAGGGAATCTACAACTTGGTTCACAATAAATTATTTATTGAAAAACTCGACTGAAAAAAAATTGTTTACTTTATTTGGAAAATAATTTGAGGTGAGGGGGTCTCCGCTCCTCTATTGCCCCGAGGCCTCTGGACCTCTAAATCCGGCCCTGGGTCTAGGGAAGGTTTAAAAGGTGAGAAAAATAAGTACATAAAGAAATTCATTGCGTATAATACAAGCCTGAGAATAAAAACTATAGTCTACCTACACTACAGCAGCTCTACACCGAAGCGAAGCGAGGGCGGGCCACTAGTATCAAATACTAATTAATAATATTCTATGGAGGTCTCTGTGCGCACTTAGTCAGATCTGCGCGAGCCCACAGCCGGGCCGTTGCGGTTGTGAGAGCGCTCGGAAACTGCAGTCTCGTGAGTTTTAAAATAAAACAGCAGCTCTCCCGCCGCCGCGGCCTTATAGGTAATTAGTAGATTTTTTTGAAAATCTTGCAGGATCCTAACGTTTTTCCGGGATAAAGTCTCTTCAGGTGTGTGCTTAATTTCGTCCAAAACCATTTAGGCGTGTTATACGAGTGCGAGACATAAAAATTTTCAAATTTCGAAAATATACATATTTTTACCGTAACGTAATTGAAATTGTGTAGACATTGTTTTATAGAAAATATTATGAAGAATCCAAATATATATAGTTTGTTGTTGTATTCATACAAATAACAGAAAAAAATGCAACATAATTCTATCGTTCCCGCCCAGCGGGAGGACCCCCCGAAGTGCGGCCATAGTGGTATAAGAATAGAGTAGGGGAGATATGTACTCTACTACAAGTGGAAGTGTCCGTCTAGTAGAAAGAGAATGAAGATGAGAGACGGCTAGCTATCTCTCTCTCTTGCGATTAGCAATAAAGGGCTTCGGCGGGGATTGCCACCGGAGCCAAATGTGTATAAAAAAATCTGAAGTGACTATTTAAAACTACTATCTATTTAATAAATAAGATTTGGGTAACATGGATCTGGCATATGTTGATCAAACCTCCTAAACAAATCTATACTTATAATAAATCTGTAGAGAGGTCAATTCTGTACATGAAATATATTTTCAAAATAACTATCAGGGGGTCATTAGTGATCGATACTGATGCCAAAAATGCAATCAGTAAAATTTTTGTCTGTCTGTCTGTATGTTCCTTATAGAAACAAAAACTACTCGACGGATTTTAACGAAACTTGGTACAATTATTCTTCATACTCCTGGGCAGGTTATAGTATACTTTTCATCACGCTACAATCAATAGCAGCAGAGTAGTGAAGGGAAATGTTGGGGAAACGGGAGAAGTTAGGCTTGTGCTATAAAGCACAAGCCTGAGAACAAAAACTATAGTTTACACTGCAGCTCTACACAGAAGCGAAGCGAGGGCGGGCCACTTGTAAAGAATAAAAATAATATACTCCCTACTGCAACGCACACTAATCGGAATCATAACGTAACCGCATCGTCTCGGTAAAAGTTTCGCGGAAGCGCGGTGTGCGATCAACTTGTAGATCCCACGTTTACGTCTCTCCGTACCCTAGCTTACATCGGTAGTTTTCCAATTACAGCACTAGAGCGCATTATGCGACAATGCTCAACGTTGAATGTTTCAACTACAGCAACGCTTCGCACAATCGAGCACTCTCAAAAGTAAGGTCTTCGGTGGTGTTATTTCCAGCTCACTAAAAATGTAAAGCTCACATAGTCTTTCTTTATTTATTGCTTCTTCTACAATCTAAATAATGTAATGGAAGGTGACTTCTCATTTTTCAACTTGATGTCTCTGTATAAACAAAATAGGGAGGGAGCTTAGAGCATAAACCGAGGGTGAAAAAAAGTCCTCGCAGAGTATCTTCACGGTTCTCTTCTCGCAGATTTGCGAACGATACCACCAAATGATAAAAGTAATATTTAACCAGGCTTCTTCCCCAAGTCCTCTATTTGTAAAATTAGGATCACTTGCACTCCATAGCCAGGTGTTTACACCATAGAGATATTCATTTCAAACACTGATCTTTATTCATAATTATTACGCTCGACCGAGGCACAAAACAAAATA